TTTCAGGAAACAACTTCTAACAAAAGTGGTGAGTGGAGAAGCCTTTGCAATTTGTTGTCAACTCTCCCATAGAGGGCCCTGTTTATTCTTATTTCCCCACAATCCCTGTATAATTATCTCCTCTCCACCAAACCCAAATCAAAGCTGATGAGCGAGGTTCTTTGCTCAGACTCCTCAATTTGGCCACCAGGGAGCCCTCGCCTGGACTCTGCTTCCGCTCCTGGCCCAGCTCACCACACTCTCGTCCAGCTATGCTCTGGCCGTGCAGGGCTATGGCCATGCTGGGTCCTGCACAGCCATTTCTGGCCTCAGGACTTCTGCATCTGCTGTTTTATAGACCTGAAATGCTACTCCTCTGGTTCAGCCTAAACATCTTTTTTTGCAGAGAGGTCTCCTCTTGACCACTCACCCCCCATCCCATTACTCTGTCCTAGCACTCTGCTCATGTCACTTGTAGTCCTGATCTTACTCTGTGACTAGTTCAGTGATGTGCTCTTTACTTGTTTACTCTCTGACTCGCCAGTGAAACCTAAGCTCCTAGAGGTAAGAGACGCTGCGCTTCAGAAAGAGCCTGGCTGAGAGTGGACACTGCCTTGGTGAGAGTGGAATGGATGGAACTATGAACAGTACCATTGGATTTGCTTTCAGAGCTTCTGTGCTTTCCAGGGGGTCAGAGGTACCCAGTAACCAAGGGACCCCACATCCCTGTGGATGAAAGAGAGACCAATCACTTCTATGAGAGGATGTAGCTTCAGGAGAAATAGACTCGTGAGCAGGAGGGGCTGTGAAACGGAACAGGTGGTCCCGATGCAGTGACATCAGGTGGATGAGGAGTCAGAGAAGGAGAAGCTCAGACGCCTCTAAACTAGGAAACAGCCGCCGGGTAGCCCGTCTATTCCAAAGGGAATTTACATGATTTGAACAAGAGAGTCTGAGACTGCAAGTTCAAGACAGGTGTTCTTAGAAACTTGCTGTGAGGCAAAGTCTGCATGGACCTGCTGTTTGAACACTGAAAAGCCGACCTCCTTAAGCCGCAGAGAATAGAGGCAGATAAAGGGCAGCCAACCGGAGTTATCGCTGTCCAGATAAGAGGCTCCTGGTCCTTTGTGTGTGTGCTTAGCTGTCCTTTGTCCTCTAGTCTTCCTGTTATTGTTGGGTTTGATCAATTTATGTTTGAAAAGGCCGTTAACTAATTCATGTTTTATTATCAATACAAATCACATAAATGGATATTTAGCCTATCAGGAAGAAAAACTAGAAAACAAAGTCTTCCAAGAGCAGCTAAATCGATGAGATAGACATCACGAGTGTGACCTGCCAGACAAAACTTGGGCACAACTGAAATTTTACAATTTATTTTTAAATTTGTCTGTAGCAAAATTCATTGGGTTTGGGGTTGCAGTACTATGAGCTTTGACAAATGTTGTGTAACCACTACCACTTCCAGTTTATGGCACAACTGAATTTTAATACGGACAAGGTTATTTGAGGATAATATATATATGGCTAACATGCAAAGTGTCCCCTCGGGAGTTCGACCAGGAGACCGGGAGTTCGATTGCTTGCTATGACATGCGCTGACCACCAGGGGGGCAGCATGGAACAAAGGAAGGCCCTGGCCGGCAGCCAGAAGGAAGACCCCGATCAGCCTTGATTGTTGGCCAGGTCTAGGGACCCTACCCATGCATGAATTTTGTGCACCGGGCCTCTAGTTATAAATATTCTATTTGATGGGACAATTTTGACTGGCTGGGGCCAGCCTGAACAAGTCTCTTCGTCTTGCACACTGACCCGCCTTCCCTGCCCTCTATCAGTTTGTCCCATTCATAAACCTGAAAGTTTTTGTCCTGTAACTAGGAGATGAGGCTCTAATCATAGCGGAAGCTGCAGTGGGAAGAAGAAGAAAGTAGGAAGATATGGAATGGCCTTTCACTCTCCAGATTCCTTGGCCTACTTTGAGCTATAGAGAGAAGGGGTCAGAAGTGCAAACCAACAGGAGTGTTTGTAAAGGATTTGTGAGAGGCTGGGCACAAGTCAAGACTCTGTGTTCAGGGCCCAACTAATGAAGCAGGAGGAGACCATGTTTTTCCACCAGGGAGGCAGTTCATTCAGAGCCAGATTCCCTGGCACAGACATTGGTGATCTCATGATGGGTAATGGTAGCAGTGACCTGTCACCTAGCAGCATTGACGGCAATGGAGGTGGTCAGAGTGGAGAGGGACACAGTGAGTATGGCTGACATGTTTGGATCGCGGGAGCATATGTGGGACCCCTTGGGGCCTCCTAATGATAATAAAGGGCACTTACAATACAATGGTGAGTGAATGATGTGACCTATATTTCAAGCTTAAAGAAGGGCAACCTGGGTAGCTAGGGAGCTGGCATATATCGTCTCACAAACATTTTACTAGTTTTCTATGGACAGGCCCTGTGTTCAACCATGGGGAATGTGATGAATGAAAAAATGGACCCCTTTTTATCAAAGCACACAGAGCCAACTAGAGGGGATAGGGATGGACACAGATAATCTCAACACATTGTGAAACTTGATAGGGTAAGCATAGGTGGCAAATGGAGCTCATGGCATTTATTACTTTATTGTCATTTATTATTACACTAGAGGCCCGGTGCATGAATTCGTGCACAGGTGGGGTCTGGCCGGCCTGCCCCAATTGGGGCCGAAGGGCAGGCTGGCTGGAAGGAGAGGCCACGGGTGGTTGGCTGGCCAGCCCCGCCCCCTGGTCGAATTCCCAGTCAAGGGGACAATTTGCATTATTAGCCTTTTATTATATAGAATAACACATTTATTGAACACATACTATTTGCTAGTCACTGTGCTAAGGAAGGTTAAGGAACTTGATGTTCAGATGACATGACTTGACTAAAAAGGGCTAGAACAAAAATTACAACTCAGCCTGTCTGACTTTAAAATCTTTGCTTTGATCAATCATGAAATAAAAATCATTAACAATAATGTATAAACAACATGAATGGCTGATGATCATCTTTTATTGGGCACTTAATTATCTCATACTATTTTGAGAGCTGTTATGCAGAGAAAACAATAAAATCAGGCTTGGATTTCTGCTGTTAAAGCAGAACAGGGGCCAGGATATCATAGAGAGACAATTCAGGTTGGTGTAAGACTGTCAACATTTGGAGCCGTCTGGCACTGTAGGTACCAAAGCACAGCCTGGGCGCCATCTGCCAGGAACGCAAAGCAAGAACCTCTGTTCCAGGTGCAACGTTCAACATCACCTCTGCTACCCCCCAGCTCATTGATTCTCCGACGGTGCTGAGATTTGAAAAGCTCAGTCCCTTGCCAGCTCCTTCTCAGGCCAACACTTAAATGTCAGCCCTTCCTTTTCTTTCCCCCCTCTCTAGGTCCCACACTATTTCATCTACAATGCTTGCTGCAATTATCATTTGTATGCCAACAACTCTCAAATTTTGCACTCCAGCCCAGAATTCTTTTCTGAGCTCCAGCTCTACCTCTTGGCTATAAGATATCCATGCCGCTGTGTGTGGGGCAGTACTTGGTCTAACATGGCCTGCATGACCATGGAAGAGAGATCTCTGCAGGGGGTGGGGGTGGGGGAAAGAGGTGAATTAGCTTCTGTAAGATCTTAGAAAATTCACAGAAACGGCAAAGGTGTTTGGTGGTGTTTCAAAACAGAAGGATTTGAACTTGAATGGCACAAACCTGTTTCTCTGACCCCCCCTGACAAGGAAATATGACCTAGCATACTATTTGGGACTTCAGGGACAATATTTACACAGTCATAATGATTTAAATGTTGTTTCCTGTTTTCGACTTCTAGAATCAACCTGTGGACATTTAAAATGAAGGCCACAGGGAGCGGGGAAATAGCAGAGCCTGGTCCCTGATGAGCATGGAGCTTCCAAAGCCAAGATGGACTGAGTACCTCCAGGCTTCTTTCACCTGGGAAAATAAATGATAAATGTGTGAGCTGCTGTGAATTTGTATTTTTCATTATATTCCATAAACCTATTTCTAACCAATTCAGACGATTTTTTTCTGTCATTTGCAAATGAAACAGTCTCCATAGGTGAACTAAAAACAATGATTCTGTTCTCTGGAGACCACTGATTCTTGGTGGTGAGAAGATAGGCAGGTGACTGTCACTTTTCCTATAAGCACTGCATTGTTTAATTTGCAAACTCTGATGAAAAAATAAACTGGGATGACAATGCAATTAGGCATGGAGAAGCCGCAGAGTAAGCAGTAAAACATCACAATCTACGATTTGGGGGGGCTCCATGGCTACCACAAGTGAAGACGAATGTTAGCCAGGAATCCTGTATAGTTGTCTGTCTAATGGGGGCTTTAAATTATGGAAGAAATCGCCAGAAAGCATTGTGTACACCTGTATGCTCACACACAAACGTACCAAAGCATGGCCTCATAGACCATTAGATGATATGGGAAAATACAACATATTATTAAGAGAGAAAGCAGAAGGCCTACCAGCACATTTCCGAGCATCTCCAGAGCAGAAATGCCTGTGGTACAGGATTAAAACTCTATGTGGAATTTCACAAAACATTAGCGGTGGTTAACTCTGGGTGACACAATCATAGATCATACTTGTTTTGTTTTTACTTACACGCGCCAGTGTTTTTCAAATATTCTACATTGAGTATGTCTTACTTGGTAATCAGAAAGAAGCAATATGCCTTCTTCCAAATGCCTTAAAAATACTTTTGAATGGAACAGAGTCCCGGGCATGGATAATACAGCTATTCGGGAGTACCAGCTGTGTGGAGGAGACAAAAGAATGTGACGTGACCACACCTGGCTCAGAGCCCTGGGAAATGGAGCAGGCTGGCCCCAAAGGCGAACTGGGCTGTCCTCAAGGTCATGCCCAGGGCCAAGCCCACAAGGCGCACAGTGACAGGTGTGGCCTGAGACAAACCCGCTAAAGCAGAGAGTGAGTCCCACACACTCCAGACAGGCCCAGAGAAGCACAGCCTCTCACCTCCGTGCATGGGCAGCTGGCCCAGGCGGCCAGGTTTCACTCCGGCTTCTTCCATCCTCTCTCCAGGGATGGACCCGGAAAGAGGAGTGGGGAAAACAGAGGAGCATGTGACAGGGCCACGTGGTGGCAACACTCAGGGCCAGGGTCCTTGGGCACGCTCACGCGGCAACAAAGCCTGGCTTTGTGCGTTTTACAGCTTCCAGTATCTTCCTGATCCAGAAGGCAGTCTGGGCCATAAAGTACCTTGAGGAGAGAAAACAGAAGGTACAAAGTTGATGTAGATCCTCTCATGTCGGCACCAGCAAACATAATAAACTCCAGACTGAGAACACAGAGGCGCCTTTGAAACAAGTCCGCCAATTTGCTTTTAGAAACAAAGAAAAATATAAAGATCTTAATGGGAAGAATGAAGCCAAAAATTTTTCTAAGGTAAACAATTACCTGGGGAATAAACTGGAAACTTGACAGCCCTCCTTCTAAGCTTCATTTGATAACCTAAAGAAATGAGATAATTGGACAAGATCGATGTTTTTAAACTTCTGGAAATTTACACAGCAAAATTACTTAAAGAGCAGGATTCTGATATAAGAGTGACACTAGTTCATTAACAGGTGAGTTCTCTGGTCTGCACTCGTTCCACGCAGTTTAAAACAGAAATGCTTTCAAACGCAAAAAGCAACAATTTGCCATTCGGGTCTCTCTAACTCTTTTCCACAGGAGTCCCCACAATACGTGTGCCGTGCCCTCTCTGACGCTCAAACATCTTTCCACTCTGCCTCCTCCTTCTTCTAATAATAATGATAATAGTGGCAATAACATAAAATGTAAGCTATACAGCTGACCCCTTAGGGACAATACCCATAATGCTTAGAGCAATTTGTTTTTTAAAATGAACAAACCGTTTAACATTTCTGAGCAGCTGAAGGATGGAGATGGTCTCTTAATTCATCTCTGACCCCTCAGTCCCTGGGCCAGCATCTGGGACACAGCCTCTCTTCTGAGAGTAGTGAATAAACTCATGAGTTTGCAAGCCCATCAGAGACACATGCTGCACATCCTACTGATGCAGAAGCACCTTCCTGGAGCACCTTCATGCATGATAGGCCCATAAGAAGCCCACACAATTTACCAGAGGGGCTGGGAGGTAATGTGTGTTTATGTAACTGACACAAATTCAATTTTATGCGCTTGTCAAAACACAGAGAGATAGAGAAGCAATTGAAATACTTAGGGGCAGTTTTGTTCTCTGTTCCACTCAGTGCCTGTCGGAGGGTTAGCATGAGATGAGAAGAATGAGCTGCCTTTCCCTCATCTGCTCTCAGTTCTCGGGTACCTCTCCTGAAATGAACTAAGTGCGATGTCCTTTTTGTATAACATGTCCTCTCAGTACCAACCGGCAGTATGTCTGACACTCCCCTGCGGAGGAACAATCCACTCTCAGCTGCAGGACAAACCTGCTGAGCTGGCATGCTGGTTCCCAGTGTTGTCCTTTAAAAGGACATTCACCAACCCTACCGTTTCTGCCCGCGTGTTGTTGTCACCTTTCAATGCACTTTGGAGACCAGGTCTGAGATGTCACCGCACTGCAACTGCAGAGTCTGGGAAGAGGGATTTGCTCTGTGTGGGAACGCGCGTGTGGGTGCGTGCGCGTGCTCGTGTTGCCATGACAAGATGCCACTGCGGGCAGAAGCGAAACTCACCTTCCGTCATTCAGCTTGACATTTTGCCACTTGCCTTTGCCTTTGGTAGTTAAGAAAATCGATTTTGCAGTCATCGTAAAAGTCCCTACTCCAAGGGAACGATTTTTTCCTTTGCATTGGGCATATGTTCTTTTCAAAGAGAAAATGAGATCACAGTTGGGGGCGAAGATAGTTGAGGAGGGAATCCATTGTACAGTGGCTACCGGAGAATGGATTCAGTGAGAGAAAACCGAGGAGACGCCCACGGCATCTATGTCTTGGGAAGTATTTGTGCATTCCAATACCCACAGGAGTTGAAGCTACGCAGAGCACCCACATTATGGGCTATGTAGCACTGGACAAGCTGCTTCCCCTCAGGAGGCCTCATCTCTAAAATGGCATAACCATTGCACCTACCTCACAAGAGTCAATGAGATAACTCGTCAGTGCTAAGGCACGTTTGTAGGCCTGCAAAACTTACTGAAGAATGACTTACCGTTATCACTCTTCACTCATGAAAGGAGGGCGGGGATCAGAAGTCCCCCCCAATTTTGATGTTTTAGTACAACACTGTCAATAGAAATATACAAGCCACATACTAGTCTATCATTTGAAATTTTCTAATGGCCACATTTTACAAAGAAACAGGTGAAATTCGTCTTAATTGTGTTTTATTTAATTGCATACATACATGTCATCCCAGCATGTCATCTGTATAAAAATCATTAATGAGATACTTTGCACTCTTTTTCTTGTACCCAGTCTCTGAAGTTGCATGTGTGTTCCACTCACCAGTCATCTCAATTCAGATGGGCTGCATTTCACAGGCCCAGTAACCACCTGCCCACCTTTTGCACTCTTTTTCTTGTAGTCTCTGAAGTTGCATGTGTGTTCCACTCACCAATCATCTCAATTCAGACGGGCTGCATTTCACAGGCCCAGTAACCACCTGCCCACCATGTTGGACAGCACAGTTCTAGACACCAGTGAGTCCAATTGCTTTGGCTCAAAGACAATGTCTCCAAAGCACTTGAAGGTTAAGCATTAAGTGAGACAGATGGCGGGGTGAAGGGAGGCTGGGCATTCTTCACACAAGGCCCTCGCCCCCACGCAGCGGGACTCCGCCAAGATTACCAGCTGGGAGGGACCGCGGGACAAGGAGAGCAGCCGCCCAGAGGCACTGGTGCAATGACAGGACCCCTGTCCACTAGGGGTACAGGAGGGGGGTGAGGGGAAGGGTGAAGCCCATCAGAGTAAATGACCACAGGGTGAGGGGCCACTTACCCAGAGGTCACAGATAAAGGAGACACAGGCTGTGGGCAGCCCAGGGTCCCATTTTTAGCTCTGCCCTTTTACCGCTGTGTGCCCTTGAGGAAGTCGCTTGCCCTCTCTGTGCTGCAGTAGCTTCACCTGTACAATGGGCCACAGCTGCTCCTCACAGGAATGTGGGGTGATTGTGTGTGTGCCCCACTTGCCCTGAGGGCATTCTGCTCCCTAATCAGCATCCCCGCCTCACCACCCTTCCCTCTCCCAGGCTTCCAGGGACTGCACAGGCCCCTATGGACCCCTTGCATGGACTCTGGATGGGCCACTGCTGTCTTATCTCCTTTTCACTCCCAGCTGTCACAGTCCCAGCAGGAGAGAGATGGCACGTGCAAACGATTTTCTGGAAGGACTTTGGCAGAGGGACTGTTGACAGGTGTGAGAGCAGGGGGCAGCCAGCCAACCAGGGAGGTGGCACCTGGAAACAGAGACCATGTAAGGTCTCAGGGGGGCGGGGCCACATGAACACAGGAGCGAAGGCACCTGAACAAGGGGGTGGGGCCAGGTGAAGATTGAAGGGATGTGGCCAGGAGCCCCAGAAGCTGAAGAGGCAGGAAGGACCCTCTCCTGGAGCCCTGGGAGGGAGCTCAGCCCCAGACACCCTGATTTCAGATTCTGGCCCCAGAACAGGGAGAGCACATGTTCCTGTTTGTTTAGGCCAGTCTGTGGTCATCAGAGCAGCAGCCCCAGGAAATAGACCCCTCCCTGCCCCTCCTTTTGGGGCTTTGACCGGGTTCTGGGAATTGCTGAGCCCTGTGCCCCAGCAGGAGAGACCCCTTAGACCTCTCGCTGCAGGGCTCAGGGAGATCCATCCCTGTGTCTGTGCCTCGGCCCAGTCTCCTGCTCCTCCAGGCAGCTCCTTGGCAGTGACAGTGCAGTGGGCACCAGGGCAGGCTGCTTGGTGGGAAGTGCAGGCTACGTGGCTTAAGGACTACTCACCGCCTTGCCGAGCCCCCAGCTGGAGGATGAGGCAGGGTACTCCCCAGCCCTGCCCTTACCTCCCAGGCCTTCCTCCTGATGAGTCCACCCTGGGCCTCTGCTTCCTGGAGCACCTGGGTTGACAGGAGCCAGCAACTGGGTTGTCATACCCATATTCTAGATGCCAAAACTGAGGCTCAGAGAGGGGGAGCAGAAGTCCCTACCCCCAGCCCACCTCCCCCTCAACCCAGCCCAGCTCACAGGTGGCTCCCCCAGCTGCCACCTGGTTGCCATGGTGTCGGAGGAGGAGAAGGAGGTCTGGGAAGCAATCCAAAAATAGGCCTCTTTTTGTGCAGGATTAGAGAGGATCTGGACGGTGAGCACCTGGCACAGGGCTGGGCATGGAGCAAAGCCCACTCCCTTCCTGCCACCTCCACTTAAGCCTGGCCTCCAGCACCTTCTGCCTCATCAGATTTGAAGTCTGCTCAGGAGTCATCTCCATACCTGCAGGCCTGTGCCCATTTGGGTGCAAAGTTTCCCTGCAATTATTGTATGCTGCCACTAGGTGGCAGTAGGCACATCAGTATTTGTGGAGGTGTTTGTTTTTGTTTCTCCCTGGCACCCCCTTCCCCTCCGCCCACCAGGTCTCAGATAAGACTTTGGATTCCAGATTTGTACCTCTTATTTCTGAGGGGAATGCCTGGCAGGATGTCCCTGCAGCATGTGGAGGAAAGAGCAGAGGGCTATGCTCCTAGAGGCTGAGTACAAGTCCTGGCTACCATGTCCCAGCTTGTGCCGTGGAGGGACCTCTGTAAGCTGCTGTTTTTTCCTCTATAAAACTGTCTCAGTACCCATCCCCTGGGGGTTGGGGTGTGCAGATAAGGGCATCAACATGGAGAAGACAGGAAGGCACTGCTATACAAATGGGAACTGTCAGCGCCCATGTTGGTGAGGGTTGTAGGGTCAAAACCTGTCCTTCATTCTGAGCCACAAACAGCAACGCGCACACACATTCACACCACACGTGTACAGATGCACACGCCCACACGCCCACACGCCCACAGAGGCCTGAGCGCATCTCTTGAGCCAGAGCCACTTACACTTCTCCTAAAAACCACCCAAACCAACCTCAACCACAAGATAGTTCACACTGGACAACATGGTGCTGATGTAAGAACTAGCTGGGTTCTCCAGGCTGTTTTCTTTAGGCCAAACGACTTGTCACCACATGATATATTCGAGTTGGGAACCCTGCCCCCCACCCCCCGGGGGCCTGGGGAGGCTTTTATATAGTTTGACCAGCCAGTGAGGGAGCTGGAAATCCCAGCACCTTCCAGCCAGGCTGCCTAACTGGATTTGGAGCAAGGCATGCTGACTCAGTGCCTGCAGCTCAGAGCGAGCAGGGGCCCTCCCTCCATCTCTCGGACCAGCTCAGCAACCTTCTGTCTGTCTCTCCCTGTCTCTCTCTCTGGCTCTCTCCATCAATCCATCTATTTCATCTCTCTCTCTTTCTGTCTGTCTCTATCTGTTTCTTTCCATCTCTGTCTGTCTCTGGGTGAGTCCAGCGATCCCACT